AATAGTTTAGACTCAGTAGATATTAACGTGTTGAAAACTATCAAAGTTGAGGAATTAAAAAAAGAATTAAAATTTCGACACTTTCAAAAAAATCAGATATTGGTGGAGTTCAATGAGAAAAGATACTAAACTATATGTTCGAGGTTGTATTGTTTGTCAAAAAGTAAATAGAAGAACAACCCCAGCATATGGAATGCTAGGTGAACGAAATATTCCTCAAGTTTCATTTCAAGTTATATCTGCTGATCATTTATCATTACCACCCACAAAAGCTGGTAATTGTTATATTTTAGCACATATATGTCATGCCACTCGTTTTCTTATTGCTAGACCAACGTGTACAACAGCTACAGAAGACATTATTAACACCATTGAAAANACTACAGAAGACATTATTAACATCATTGAAAATGATATCTGCAATCAATATGGACCACCACTTACATATATTAGTGATAACGGTTCTTCATTCACCAGTGCAAAATTTAAATTGTTTATGGAAAAATATGGAATTGAACATCTACTAACACCTCCATATACTCCTCAGTCAAATGGTTTAATCGAACGTTCAAATGCAACCATAATATCAGTGCTTTCTAAATTTACATTAGAACATCCTAATGATTGGGACGAAAAACTACCTAATTTGATCTTGACAATCAACACTACTCAGCAGAGTTCTTCAAAATATTTACCATTTTACCTGTTATTTGGATATGAACCTAGAGTTATTTCTTGGGAATTAAACATAGAAGCTATAAGATCAGACATCTCAAGAGAACAACAAATAGAAGAACTTACAGAAGCAAGAAATAGAGCTGCTGAGAACAATAAAAAAAAACATGAGGAAAACAAAAAACGTTTTGATAAAAACAGACTAAGCCAATCATTTCATAAAGGAGACATAGTTTTGTATGAATTGCCCTTATCTTCAGATACAAAACTAACACCCAAGTTCAAAGGACCATTTATGATTGAAAATCCAGTTGGTAAAGTATGTTATAGAATCAGAGAAGTGGACCATTCAAAAAACAAAAAAAAAGACACAAGAATAGTGCATGTACAATCAATTAAACCATTCATTGAAAGACCTAATTTTGATGATCCAGGGAACATAGAATTCTATAACACTACAAATACAAATCCAGAGACTGAAGAAACAACCATTGAAACAAATACAATTCCAGAAACCGAAGAAACAACCAGAAACAATCTTCCTAACGTTTCTAGTCGTGGTCGCACAATATTAAAACCTAATTGGCTTAATCAATTTGTAACACAGTAAATTGTTCCTACTTGTAATAACACCTTAATAATTAATTTTTCTCTAATTATTATAAAAATAACACATAAATTATATATACTTATATAGATCTTGATAAATTTATTGACTGGGTAACTAAGTTGGGTTTAACACTTAATCTATCCAAATGCAAAGCTTTTACATTTTATAGGAATCACTCTCCGATTACTTTCCCATATCGCCTTGGTAGTGAAGAAATCCCTCGTGCATCTAACAATATTATGGACCTTGGATTCAAATTCAGCCACAATCTTGACCCCAGTGCTCACATCCAACATATCTGCTGTAAAGCCTTCAAAATGCTTGGTGTTCTTATTAGATTAACCAGAGAGTTCAAGCTTGAAAAGACATTAAAACTTTTGTTTTGTGCGCTGGTCCGCCCTATATTAGAGTATGGCAGTGTGGTATGGGACCCCAACACGGCAGACAACTGTCGCCAGTTAGAAAGGGTTCAAAATAAATTTCTATGTTTTGCTGGGCGGGCGCTGGGTTTACCATGTCCACCCCATGATTATAGCCCCGTGGCAAATAACTTAGGCCTTTCCACACTGTCATCGAGGCGTATTATTGCGGGCTCTAGGTTTCTCGGGGGTTTGCTTGATGGGAAGATAGAGTGTCCTGCGCTATAATCTCTGATCCCTTTTAGGGTTCCGCAAATCAATACCAGATCAAATGCGCCTTTCCGAGTCACGCATGCCCCCACGAACTACCTAATGAATGAACCCCTTCGCCGGTTACTTAGAAGTGCTAATGTGGATCCTAATTTTATATTATAATAATATTTGTATTTAGTTTTGTAATATCTTATTCGTATTTCGTTTTATTAGTTNGGTTGTATCTCAATATACACTACACTTTAATGATACAATAAATAAATATACACACATATGCATTTATAACATTGTGTCTAATGTAAGTATATTATGATAAAAAGTAACCGTAAAATGTAAAAAATGGAAAATAAATTTTAGTACTCATATTAAATGTAATGTAACTCGAAAAATATTTGTTTAAAATATTGTTTTAAACAACTTTTGTACGAAACATTTTTTTGTAAGTTAAATATTTTTTGAGAAAATTAAAAAAGCTCATATTTTTTAACTTTTGTAAGGCTGTAAAAGTTCAATTCCAAACAATGAGGACTAATAGTATGTCATTATACATATTTTAATGCAACTTTTAAAAAAACAAAATTTTGTTGGGAATTTTTTCCGCAATTTTTCCTTTGTTGACTGGCCTAGATGTCACACATATTACAGGTAAGATAGTTAGAGCATTGGAATGAATTGGCTTACTCATAGTACAAATTTTATTTACTTTTACTCTTATAATACTTGATGTTATACTTTTTATTTAGTTTAATTGTTCCAATTCCTCCACTCCACGCACATTCCTATACAAAGAAATCAGATAGTCATACTTAGAAAATCAATTGACTAACCGGCTTTTCTCTTGTCGCCTTCGTTAGAATAGGAGTTCGTTCACTGCTCAGTCCTGTTCCTAACATTTGGTCCTTCGGGCCGGATTAGTTGATTAATAGAACTTTTGATTGTAAGATAATCCCACTGGGAAACCCCCTTGTCGTTGTAAAGCAAAACCAGCACAGATTGTCGTTCACCTGATTTTTGGTTTAATTTGTTCATCATCAAGTAACTTAACTTAGCTTAAATTAAGTGTTGTATTGAGGTGAACTGGCAATTAATTAAAAAAAAAAAATATATATATATATATATATAAATAATAATAATCATATTAAAATCATAACAATAATTAACTTCTATTAATAGAGCACTTAAAAAAAAAAAAAGAGAAAATCACAAGTGCCCTGTGCTTGGTTTTGACTGTTTTTATATTTTCTATTGTGAAATAAATACCAAAAGGAAGATCATGGCTCAATCAGAACAAAAACAAAAGGAAACAACACAACTAGCAATCAAGGAGAGACTTGAGTATGACAATGCCAACGCTGTGTGTGAGAGAATTCTTTTGAAGTTGGAAAGTTTTCTCAAGATTGGTCAACGGGTAACTGAATCTCCTGATGATGTGGGACTACGCACCAAGTTTCGGATTATGGTTTCTGAACTGGACACTCTTCGAGCCACTTTCGATCAGAATATTCAGTGCATGGAACATTTGGTCAATCAAAAACATGCTCCTAGGACAACTCATGCTGAGACTAAGCACCTACTTGCTCAGTTTGATGAAATATACTATGAACTGGGGGCTGCAGCGGACATGTTCGGGTTGACAACTAACAAATCAGCAGAACATACTATCAACCAGTCGACCAACATCACTGAATATAATTCTTCAACTGCCTTGGCCAGTTTTCATTTGCCTAAGCGGAACATGCCAACATTTAGTGGTAATCCTTTGGAATATGAAAGCTTCAAAAAATTGTTTATGTCAATTCTTTCCCACATACCTAGTCTCCCTGATGTTGAACGTTTTGAAATTTTGAAAACTTCAGTTCACGGTGAAGCTGCCTCTCTTATTGCATATCTACCAATAAATGACCCTGGGTATAAATCTGCATGGAACATTCTAGAAGAACGGTATGGCAATAAAAGAGATTTAGCTCGCCTCCATTTCAAAGCCCTTTTCTCGTTATTGCCTATTCGAACAGGAGATGTAAGGTCTATTAAGCAAGCGTTGAATGTCATCGTAGAACATACAGCAGCATTGTCGAACTTGAACTACACCGTTAATCAATGGAGTCCATTACTTGTCTATTTTTTCGAAGAAAATCTGGATAAATCTCTTCGCGCTCAATGGGAGCTGTTAGTAGGTAATAGACAATTTCCTTCGGTAGAGGAATTCACCACTTTCCTTCGTGGGCACCTTCGGTCAGCAGAAGCAACCTCTCAGTCTACAACCTCTATCCAATCTATCGAACAGCATAACCAACATGGGGCTACCACCAACCATTCAAAATTCTAATTATGAGAAACGTTGCCTATTATGTAGTCGTCCTCACCCACTGCATATATGTCCAATTTTTCTAAGAAAATCACCAAGAGAGCGGCTCGGTGTCATTAAAGAAAAGAAGTTATGTATCAATTGTTTCAGTAAGCAGCATGGCGTCTCAGATTGCACATCGAAATATACGTGTCGTCAATGTTCTAATAAACACCATACAACATTGCATTTTGAACAGCCATCCACCACTGACTCTGGAGCACTGATTTCTAACAATTCAGAGAGTCCGAATTCACTTATTTGTTCAGCGGATCCAAAATCTCTTTTAGTTTCTGGTTCTTCTCGTTCAACGGTGTTGTTGTCCACAGCTAAAGTTGAAGTGGAAACTAGTTATGGTCGACGAGCACAACTCAGAGCTCTATTGGACACTGGCTCTCAAGCTAGTTTCATTACGTCAGCCTGTGTCGAGCAAATAGGATTAAAGAGACACAAAAGCTCATCGAACATTAGTGCATTTTCGGGTGCTCAAGTGTCTACTGTTTTGGGAAGAGTACATCTTCAACTTCGAGCAAAAAACAAACAGAATCCAGTCATTTTTGTCAACGCACTTGTGGTCCCAACGATTACAGACAAGACACCTCAAGTGACAGTTGACTCCAGATCATGGAGTCATTTGAATGATTTAATCTTAGCCGATCCCTCGTACACTCAACCTGGCTCTATCGATTTATTACTCGGTTGGGTTGGGTTGAGCTGATGTACTCCCATCAATAATGACTGGAGAAAAATTACCTGGCAAATGTAATGAACCTGTTGCATTCCACACTATATTCGGATGGACGGTTATGGGACCAGTTGAGTCACTCTCCCAACCCCATGTCACCTCACTACTAGTCATCTCTAACGATGAGCTCGACCAATCGCTCACCAACTTTTGGACCATAGAAGAACCCCCTCAAACTGTGTGCATAAGTCCAGAAGATAAACAAGCTGAGGAACACTATAATCAGACGATGGAACGTCTCCCATCAGGACGGTACATGTTGTCGTTGCCTTTTCGATCAAACAAGCCATATCTAGGAGAATCTAAACAAATTGATTATCAAAGATTGCTCTCTTTGGAGAAAAAACTAGGAAAGAATGCAGACCTGAGAAATCAATATCATGCGTTCATGCAAAATTACTTAGACAGTCGACATATGGAACTTATCCCATTCAATGAAAGAAGTAATCGATTTTTTTATTACATCCCTCATCAATGCGTTCTTCGTCCAGATAGTAGTACTACTAAACTTAGAGTAGTTTTCAACGCATCTTCACACACTAGTCTTGGTATGTCGCTCAACGATCACTTGCTCACTGGGCAAAAACTGCAATCCAACCTGCAATACATATTATTGAGGTCACGGTTATACAAGTATGTCATAACACCTGACAGTAAACAAATGTACAGACAAATTTTAATTCAGCCATATGACAGACTATTTGCGCATTCTGTGGAAATTTGATGTTAACACTCCTATACAAGAATATCGGTCATGTACGGTTACGTAAGGAACTTCAGTAGCTCCCTATCAAGCCTTAGAACAATTAAACAATTGGTCCAGGATGAAGAGCATGAATTTCCATTAGCAGCAGCGGTATTGAACATGGACATTTTTGTCGATGATGTCTTAACTGGAGGAAATACAGTTAAACAAACGTTGGAATTATAAACTCAACTCATTGGTATCTGCTCTAAAGCAAAATTCGAATTGAGGAAATGGGCCAGTAATCTCTCCGCTGTTCTGGAGGCCGTCGCAGAAGATAATAGGTCCATGGAACCATCAATATTGTTTGATGATGAAGCAAATACTGTTGTTAAAATACTTGGCTTACAATGGCAGCCTTTTTTAGATCAGTTCACATTCAACGTTTCAATCACTTCTGAACTATCTACGAAACGCTCTATTTTGGCCAATATCGCTCGAGTCTTTGACCCGCTGGGGTTACTTGCTCCAGTTGTTTTTCGTGCGAAAACTATCATGCAGACACTGTGGACACTTGGTCTTAGTTGGGACGATCCGATCCCAAACCACATTCAACTCACTTGGACAAAATTTTGTACAGACTTTAGAACATTAGAACACATTAAAATCGCCCGTCGCCTTTCGGTGGACCAAGTACAAAAATATCAATTACATGTCTTTACGGATAGCTCAGAACAAGGATATGCAGCTGCAGTATACTTGAGAAGTACACCTGAAACAAACACTCAATGCAATCTTGTATTTGCCAAATCGAAAGTGGCTCCTTTGAAAAAACTCAGTATTCCTCGACTGGAACTCTGCGCCGCCCTCCTAGGCGCTAAACTCTTGAACAGTATCCATACACTCTATAGTCCATTAATCCACATCGACTCTATCCATGCTGGGACTGATTCAACTACAGCGTTGAGTTGGATTCGATCATCTCCTCACCGATGGAACACCTTTGTTGCTAACCGAACTAGTCAATTACACGAACTAACATCTCCTTCAATCTGGCGATATATTCCGACTGCACAGAACCCAGCTGATTGTGCTTCACGTGGAATACTGCAACATGACCTCTGGTGGAAGGGACCAGCATTCTTACTTGATGACTCTATTGAATGGCCGGAAAATCCTGGACCAGGTCCACTAGACAGCAACACAGAACTTCGAACATTAGTACACATGGTATCGACAGAACATCATCTCATCGACCTATTACTTGAAACCCATTCACAATTGGATCGTATAGTCCATATAGTTTCTTATTGCCTGTACTGGAAAAAAGAAAACAGACATACTCATGCACTCACCGCTTTAAAATTGGACAAAGCCCTGTGCGTGATTATCAAGCATGTACAAACTATGGCATTCCAAGCGGACATCCAGCTCCTTCAGAAAAATGACAAAAGTTCATCATCAGTGTTCGAACACTGGATCCTTTTTTGGACAATGATGGCGTACTCCGTGTTGGTGGGCGGTTACTCTTGGCGGATGTGCCATATAGCCACAAACATCCAATCCTATTACCAGGCAATCACCGTTTTACCCACTTACTCATTCAACAACAGCACAATCAATTTAACCACCCAGGAGCAAAAAATTTGCATTGTATACTCAGAAAAAATTATTGGATCACTAAGGGTCAACAAGTTATTCGGTCAGCTCTTCGTTCATGTATTCCATGCTTCAAAACCAGACCATTAACGACCTGGCCAAAGATGGGACATCTTCCAACATACAGAGTCCAACAAATCAAAGCATTTGGCGTCACTGGTGTCGATTATGCTGGGCCCATCTACACCAAAGCGCCCTCTCGTCGCTCTCCTGCGACAAAATCGTACATCTGCCTATTCGTATGTATGGTCACAAAAGCACTTCATCTTGAACTTTGCTCAGATCTTAGCACAGAAATCTTTTTACTCGCGTTCTCTCGCTTCGTTTGTCGCAGAGGACCAGTCAAAGAAGTCCATAGCGATAATGGAACTAACTTCGTGGTAGCAGCGGAGCTGCTCAAACTGGTGCATTCAGCGGAGTACAGTAGTGCAGTGGGAAAACATTTGGCAGCCAAATCGATCGCATGGCATTTCAACCCACCTTCATCACCTCACTTTGGCGGCTTATGGGAAGCAGGGGTGAAATCAGTAAAGACACTCCTACTTCGATCAATTGGTTTGCACATCTTGTCGTACGAAGAACTGTATTCTGTACTTGTGCGCATCGAAGCCACCTTGAACTCTCGTCCATTATGCCCTTTAACGGAAGATCCCCTTAGTCTCGAGGCTCTTACACCTGGTCATTTTTTGAACATGGAACCAACAACCTCATTGCCAGATCCACACTTGGAACAAGTTTCGTTGTCAAAACTGAAACGATGGCGTCTCACAGCAGACATCTATCGACACTTTTGGAATAGATGGCACAATGAATATATCAGCTCATTACAAACTAGATCAAAATGGAAGCAAGAAACGAAGCCTCACATGATTGGTCAATTGGTTTTGGTCAGAGAAAACACCAGTCCTCTTGAATGGAAATTAGGGCGAATAGTTCAGCTACATCCGAGTCCAGACGCGATTGTTCGAGTAGTTACCATCGTTACTTCAACTAGCAAGAAACTTAGACCAGCTGTCAAACTCTGCCCTTTGCCTATAGATTAACATATTGTTCACTATTGCCCATTCTGATATACATTACTAATACACCTCTTTGTTGTAGATTTGCATCTAATTCGAACATTTGAACATCATAATGGCAGGCAAGTATCAGTCAGCAAATTCAAGGTTAGCTGGTCATGACTCCTCGGCCAAACGACGGGTAGCCGATCAAGTATTGGACAAATTGGCTCAATGTCCAACAATGAACCACACGTCGTCGACCTCGATTCACCGGGCATTACTGCATGTCCAAAGAGCGCTATCAACCTTGCAGCTGTTAGGCTACCCTGTGGGTGACTGCGACGTCACTTTAGTGAGGGCCATTGTCAAGTCTATGGACTATGTCATGTTGCAAGAATGGGAGAAAGTTCTAGAAAGTAAGAATCTTGTTTCCTTACCCTCTGTCCATGAATTGATCATATATTTACACCATGCGGCAACACTCGCTGATATTGGTTCACAGCAGTCATCCATAGAGCCTATGTCTATTCGTCCAACTACATCTCCTTCGCTCTCGTCCATTCGTCCATCTACTACTCGTACTGTTTCAAGTCGGCCTACTCCAACTGCTGTTGAGTCGTCGAACCAACCTCAAGAGAAGGTTAAATACACTGTGACAACGGAATGGTGCCCATTGTGTTCGGCATTCCACCCCCTTCGTACATGCACAACATTCCTTTTAGCCCCTGGCATCAAAAGATACCATATTGCCAAAGAATATGTCCTTTGTTTATACTGCCTGTTACCAGGGCACAGGGCCGTACGCTGCAAGGAACAAAAACCTTGCCGTATCTGCAAAGGCAATCATTATCATCTGCTCCACATCGACCACAAACCTCTCACAGGCTCCCCATATCAATGTATCTAAATTCATAAACAATCGTCTTTCTTTACCAACAATAGTCACTCTTCATCAACAATAGTCATCCATCATCAACAATAGTAACTCTTCCTCAACAATAGTCTACTCTCAAGATTCCATGTCTTCACTCAACCATATTTGTCCAAGTCACATCATCTCAACATCCTGTCAGTCCTTCGACCACTGGACTACTTGCCTATCCATATAAAGGTGCAGACCTTTATGGTGGGCGGTATGTTCGGGTGAACACTCAAGTTGGTCATACTGATAGTGTACTATCTGGTGATAACACTTCCCTCATCGGACGCTTGGCCGTTATAGTTTATAATTCACTCTCTCGAGATCCGTCGCCTAGATTTAGTTTTTTTGTTTTGTAAAACCGTGTTATTGTATCGCTCTCGTTGTAAAACTATTGCTTTTCGCCTAACCTAAAACATTATATTTTTTTTGTTACTACAAAAATCGTTCGTCTGGTGTTAATTCGTTTGTTAGCCTTTTTGAATCGGCATCGTAATACGAAACCAAATTTGTATAATATTAATTGGTAATAATTTCAATCGTTATTTATTATTTGTAATTTATATACCTTGTGGTTCGCACATTAGCTCACATTACCCATAGGGTACATTGTCATTTGCATGAAACTCTCTTTAGATCTATTAACTCTATTCTGGATGGTAACAATACAATTATTCTATTAAAACACAATCAGCAGACTGTTAAAGTGCGAGCCCCTTGGTACAATTGTCCAGTATTATTTAATTTAGAATTTAGATAAGTTAAAATTGTAGTTAAGTTTCTAGTAATTTATTTTACTATTATCTTTTATGTTATTCATGTGGTAGTACAAAGCAACTCAAATCCATAAGTCCACATAAGTTAAAGTAATTAAATAGTTGAGTTGCTCAGTTACTAGTTTATTTGAGTAATTGTTTATTGTAATGAAATTAGTCGTTTGTTATATTATTATTACAATTTGATTTAATCGACCACTGGTCTTTGCACTATTAAAATTAACTTTGTCCTTTGGCTATTGAACTCTAATGTTTGTCCATTTGTTTATAAACTCATAATTTGATACCAATTGTTCTTTTTCCATATATGTGATTCAACCACTTCTATTGAACAATTTTATTACTTATCCCTATCTTAATTTTGTTAACATTCATAGCAATTATACTTGTGTTTTGTCCAGTACCTGTTAATTTCTTACTGTACTTTGTTAATATAATTGTACAAAAATAATTGAATTAACTCTGTATTAAACATTACTCTTGTACTTTGCTCATTGCAATAAACTGACTGATTTCATTGAATCATGTCGCACTGAATATTCATATTTCATTTCACTCTTGAGCATATATACAGTCCACTATCACAAATCATTTATTATAAATAACTAACTGCACACATATTACAGGTAAGATAGTTAGAGCATTGGAATGAATTGGCTTACTCATGGTACAAATTTTATTTAC